CCACAGTTTTCATGCAGCTCATACCATATTATTTTGTTGTATTATTTCCACCACACCTTAAATGCCGGTCCCTGAAAATATTGTCTGACATAAACCGGTCCGTGGGGCAAAAAAGGTTGGGGGCCCCTGCCCTAGACAACCAACTGAAGTGAAAAAAAATTATTGAGCAATGAAGGTGGAATCTCTTAAATGTAACCACAATTCACCAACAAATCAATTTACAATCTTTTCACAATTGTTGCTTGAGTTCATGAACTATACTACTTGACAGCCAGGCACCGTAAATGGCATCGGCTCTGTACATTGCATTGTCAGGCATCTGTTTTTTTTTCCCCCTTTCTGTACATTTTTGCCAAACCTTTTAGTTTTGGCACCCTAAGAAAGTGATATTACTAGGCTGTTACTGGCGGCGTTAGAAGCTAGTCTTTACGTGTACTTAGGATGTTTTGTTATATTTTCATATTTCCATTTTATAGTCTTTTTTTTCTTTGAATAAAAATACAAAACTACTTCAAAAATGTACTGTGGTGTTGTAAAAATGTTGAAGCCACTGTAAGATTATGCACAGTTTGAGCATTTCAGTGATTCTCTCACATAACCCGCTTTGTTACAGTTGCAGCGGTTGCAAAAGCGCCTTATCAACAAAGATGAGTTGAGTTTCACTCGGGAAGACGTCAGACATATCATTGCTGCTTTTGAACTGCGAAAAATGAGCAACCAAGGACGGAAGCCTCAATAGTGAGGTCCACAGAAAACCTACCCACACAGATCAGACCTATTTTTTGACCTCCATCTCCCTAACCCTATGCCCTCAGATCAAGCTGTTGCACCCCAAAGGCAAAAGCAACCTCAGTAATGTTGTTAATGCAGTTCAGTTAAGCGTAGTTTGGTGAGGAGTGCAGTGACTTCTTGATTAGAGAAACCAACAAACCCCAACACGGAACACAGGAGGTCAGCCTCTACGGGTCCAGAGTCAGCAATTCGTTTGCAACGCACCGACAAAGAAGGGACTGTCCTTGAGGACAACACTGTTTAAGTTGAAATGTCTCTCACTACCAAGAGTCAGTTGCCGTGGTTTAACTTTGGCGGTCTTCTTTGGCTTGAATTTGTTACAAATTTGTTGTTTGCAGTTTTGGGCATGAAACAATTGTGGACCAGTGATGTTTTCCTTAATTCTGACATGGGGGCGCTTTGATGATGCGTCAAGGAGCTTTTGACACAGGACATCATTGGGATGTAATGGCATGACCCAATCTTGCGGCACGCCACCCAGTTCCCTTGCTGCATGTCATTTGTGCCGCGACCCGGCAGGACTCCAAAGTGTCACGAAATGGTCAAAATTCAAGATGAATTGCGTGGAAGGTAGACTTACAAGCAAGTGCGTAGAATGTGTGTACGATGAACTGCGACAGACCCGAGGTCTCAGCGACGCACTTATTATAGTCGACCATGTGGAGTTTCACGTCCATAAGATCATCATGTGCAACTGCAGCCCGTATTTTGGGTGAGTGCATCCCTCACAAATGTAAAACCTGGTCTGAGTTGAACATTTGCTGAGCATTTGTCAATGTCTTCATTTTGAGATTAACACTGCATGTTAACACGCTGGTTCTCAAACTGGGGTAAGAGGACAAAGCAAGTAAAACAATTTTTTCCAAATCAACTTTTGACCAATTAAAAGCTCTGAGATGCCCCACAAATCTGACAATGTACATGTTTTACATTTTTATTTTTTCACAACATTCCCCCCTCGACCCCCAAAAGTTTGTATCGCAGCATTACAACTTTTAAAATCCTTTAGGGGTAGATCTGACAATTACGGGTGTTAGCATTATAAGGGAGTGCTTGGAAAAAAAGTTTCTCAACCACCCCCCCCCCCTCCAAATTTAAGAACGCTGGTCATCGCTCATTAGTACGTTTTAAGAAATGTTGAAATCTTTTGTCTGTGTCCCCAATGCTCAGAGCCCTCTTTCTACGTTGGTCCACTCCAGACCAGAAGGTCTATGCCATCCAAGGTCTTGCAGCTCACTTAATGCAGCTCTTCATTGATTTCGCGTACACCGGTTGTGTGTTGGTGACAGAGGACAATGTCAAGGACTTGTTGATAGCCGCTGACAAATTCAACGTCATAGGCATTGTCGAAATCTGCTGCGCGTTTCTAACAGAACAGCTCTGCCCGGAGAACTGCATCGGCATCTGGCAGTTCACGAGGAACTGCCACACCCCTCAGCTGCAGAGCAATGCCTACAATTATATTTTATACCATTTTGAGGAGGTTGCTACCTCGGATGAGCTGCGGCAACTCTCCATGCAGGATTTGAGTGACATGCTCGACAGAGACGACCTGATAGTGAAAAAGGAGAATATCGTTTATGAGGCCATCCTACACTGGATTGCACAAGAGCCTTGGGAGCGGGGCAGAAACATGCCGGTGCTCCTAGCCAAGGTAAACTGCAGTTACATTAACCACAGCAAAAACAAACTACAATCATCAGGGTTCAAGTGACATGGTAGTCAAGACTATCCAAAACTAACAACTAACTGAGCCCCCATATAGAGTAGGCAGTCAACATTCCAGTTGACAGCTTACTACTCAACAATCAGTCCTCCAGTGCACTCGCCGAACAACTGATCATGAGCCCGCCAATGACTTACTAGACAACTCTGCGGAAAAATTGATTGTAATCCCCGTTGACATCTTTATGCCGGACAATCTGGAAACCACTTTTGACAACTTCACGGGACAATTACTCACACTGACTTTGAAAACATCTTGCCATGGCAAATAACACTTTACGCGTAACAGAAATTCATTCCAACTTCCTCAAACAATTATTCTGCCAAACAACCCATTGTCCCCTTGATAACTTTACTGATTAGTTGATTGCACCCAAACACCCTGGTGGTAACGTTATGCCAAACAATGGATCCCTCCAACATCATCATCAACAATTGGTCCCCACCCATGTCAAAAATTTAACAACACCCGATTGCACCCCGATTGATAACTGCACCAATGGAGGAGCCCTTCCTTGTCAAATTTGCCAAAGAACTGATCATGCACACTCGAACAAATTCTTCCTATTCTCAATACTTAAGTTGACAAAACCCTGACAATGGTCATCTGTATAAATAAGACTTGTGTGACAACCCCAAAAATCTTCTTGCAACTCTAGGTCCGTCTTGCACTGACCAGTCAGGAGTACATTACCATCAACGTGCTGACAAACCAGCTGGTGCAGAACAGCCGTGAATGCCAGGAGATGGTCTCCTTTGCGTCACGCGTCATTAGTCACATGGCGAGAAACTCTGTGTCTGCATACTGCAACTTGGTGGCCCGTCCTCGCCTGCCTTCCGCTATCCTGCTGGCCATTGGTGGCTGGAGCGGTCCAAGTGCCACCGAGTGCATCGAGGTGTATGATGTCCACGCCAACTGTTGGGACTATCTGTTTGACAATATGGACCAACCCCGAGCGTACTGTGGCGCCACCTTTCTCAATGACGCCATCTATTGTCTGGGTGGCTTTGACGGCACGGAACACTACAATACTGTCAGCCGCTTTGACCTGAAGACGCGCACCTGGCAGGAAGTGGCGCCTATGCACTCTCGCCGGTGCTATGTGAGCGTCACGGTGCTAAATGGCTGCATCTTTGCATTAGGGGGCTATGACGGACATGTAAGACTGAGAACTGCGGAGTACTACACGCCAGAAACCAACCAGTGGACTCTTATTACCAGTATGCACGAACAGAGGAGCGATGCCAGCTGCACCACTCTCAATGACAAGGTGAGTGGAAACTGAATTTGGCTGTCTGTCATCCACGCCTATTCGAATTCACCACCCGTCACACCATGTGACTCCAGATTTACATTTGCGGCGGCTTTAATGGAAACGAGCCCCTGCAAACGGCTGAATATTACAGCCCAGAGACCAACGAGTGGACAGTGATGGCCCCAATGAGCAGCCGTCGCAGTGGCGTCGGGGTCATTGGGTTTGCTGACCATGTTTATGCAGTAAGTACAGTGTACGACAATCTGAAATTTGTACAAAATTTGGTGTCCCAAAATTGACCGAACATTGTGTCATCCAAAATGTGTGACCAAAATGTCCAAATTTTTCAAGACCTTTGTACACAAATCTTTGTCAGCCAAATTTTGGCCACACATTTTAGGATATTAATCTTGGATATACATTTCGACTACATTTACATCAGTTTGGGGTAAATGTAACATTTGACACACATTTTCAGAGTTTTGCACTTATGTTTGGACAGTATTTTGAAGTAAAAAAAAATCTTAGGTCTCAAATTTTTGGACATGCATTTTTGAATAAATACACACAAATTTCAATTAAATATGGACATAAGATGTATTTGGTCACAAATATTTGGACACAAATTGGGACATTTTTACATAACTAGAAGAGGTCTGCAAGAATAAAAGCGAATATATTTTTAACCGATTTAACTCTGTATACTGAACAAATTTGAGGTTATTTCAGTGGTGAAAAGATTAATTAAGCTGCTTCTAAAGGTTGGCGGTTACGATGGTGAAGTCCGTCTGACCAGTGCCGAGGCCTACAACCCTCAAACTAACAACTGGATCGTGTTGCCCCCCATGCAATGCCCCCGAAGCAACTTTGGCATTGAAGTAGTGGAGGATTGTCTCATTGTTGCTGGGGGTTACAACGGCGTCTCCACCACCAGCCATGTGGAGTACTATGACCTCACCACTGGTCTGTGGTCTCCGGCCAGCGACATGCGGATTTCCCGTAGCGGTCTCACTTGTTGTGTGATGACCGGACTCTACAACATGACGCAATGTGCTATCATTCGAAACGATCTACCATTGCTCTTCCTGGAAGAAGATATGGCAGAAATGGATGATGATATCTAAATTTGAAGTATCAACTGCCCTCAGAACCCGACTGAAAACGTCAACGCAACCAAGAGGGAAAAATGAATAAAAGATGAAAAAAGTCATTACAACAAAATATGCTGAGTCATACTTTATTATATTTACACTGATATGTGAACATTTGAGAGAATTATCTTATTTAGGGATCAATAAAATGTTTATTTGGAGATACATTTTGTGCTTTTGTAAAAGACTGATATAGAACTGATCTACAATCTACTGATCTACTGTATTTTCCCCCATTACTTAGCTGAGGGATTCAAGTCAAAAGTGTTTGCACAACATCACATCACGACCACAACCATCAATGGAGGTTTTGCATACCAAAAGAATGTAACCATTTGTGGTGGTTCTGCATGCTTCCAACTTAGAGCTTAAACATTTGGGTTTTCCACATCAACTCTGGCTGGTGCTGCCCTAACCAAGCCTCGTTGCTTAAACCGATGAGGCCTCGGATGAGAGGCAAAATATCTTCGTTCTAATTTGTGTTAAACCAAATCTCTTTTTTTACTGCATCTATCTGGCATACAGAGGAAGTGACTGGTATTTCAGCTGTCTCTGCCATTGAGGATGACAAGGAGGAAGAAATTGTGGTGGGATTTTGGCCGCCATTAAGGGGTCTGGGTCGGGGCGCCATTTAAGCCACCACTGCTCGTCAGCAATTTCCACAATGGTGGCTCAGAAAATGTCTCATTACATGTCCAATTCCAGGCACTCTCCTTGATCACATCTTAGGTTGCTCATTCACTGCTATTCATGGCTCTCGATACCAAATATGCAAACGGAAAAGGTTGGCAGTGAATGGGTGGCAAGGCAAATTATGATATTCTTAACTTACTTTTTGGTGGGACGACTATTATCTTTGTAAGACTGATACAGAACAAGGTATACATGGGATTAGAAATTTAATATTTACAGATGTTTAATATTTACGGAGGTTTTAAAGTTTTGGAGTCTAGTTTCCACACCGTTTGGCTTGAAATATCTTATTCCAACACCAGATTTAGAGACCCTGTCTTTTCTTGTCTACACTTAAGGTAGCAACTCTGGCAAACCAAATTCTTCACAACTCACTTTTTGGTGTGTCTAATGTCTTTGGTGTGAGACTGAATATTGGATATGGTTATTATGGTGTTACAAATATTGTATCATTGGGCTTTTTATAGTTGAAGCCAGTGATGCTTGCTTTAAATGAAAAGCACAGAGGCCTTGATGATGTGGACGATGTCACCGCAGATGGCCAACATGGCTTTTGACACAGAATGCCACCATGATGTAAATGCAGAAGTCTCCCCCTACCTACAGCATTCTACGGTTTACTATGCGACTTCCGCTGAGGCTTCGGCAGAAGTCGAAAGCGTTGAAGACATGGCAACAAATTCAAGATGAGTTACGATGGACAGTTGTTATACAAGTCTGGCTCCGTGTACAACCAACTACGCCTAACGAGAGAACTGAGTGACGCCGTCATTACGGTCGATCAAGTCGAGTTTCACATCCATAAGATCATCCTGTGCAACTGCAGCCCATACTTTGGGTGAGTTGCTCTCATCTCACGTTATTATTGACCAGAGGTAGGGGATTTGCATCACATGACTTGCCTAGGGTCAGACTGAAGTCACCAATAATAATGATTGCTTGGCTGAAACTTGACAAGCCTTGCCAGTTTGGAAATCTGCACTTGTGTAGTGCATGCAAATCTGGCTACCCATCAGTATGCTATGACGCAGAGTTCAGGTGGCACCTCATGGAGGAAGCATTATGGAGAGAGATCTGAAGATTATCACACTTGTTTTCAATAAGTGACAGTAAAGAACCAGACAATAGTGGTTTGAGAACCCTTAAAATTGTACTCAATTCCAAATGTGTAAGTACAGACAACTATAATATAGCCTACTGCCGCGGCCAATGTGTAAATAAACAAGCTGTGACTGAGAGATCATAGTACTTAAATTGACTTTCTTTACCCAAGAAATGACTCGACGTGACTTGCTTTAAGTTTATTTGGGACTCGACTTAATCGCTTCGAGTTTTGCCTTTGTAACTTCAGACTTAACTTATGACTTGAGCATATGTGACTTGCTCCCACCAAAATATCCTGTTCTCTGTCCTTTTCAGAGCCCTCTTTCTACGTTGGTCCTCCCCAGACCAGAGGGTCTACACTGTACATGGTCTGACGGCTCCCTTTATGCAGCTATTCATTGACTTCGCATACACCAGGTCCGTGTCTGTGACAGAGGAGAACGTACAGGACTTGTTGATTGCGGCCGATAAGTTCAACGTCATTGGCATCGTTCGATCCTGCTGCACATTTCTAAAAGAACGGCTCTGCCCGGAGAACTGCATCGGGATCTGGCAGTTCACAAAGAACTGCCACACTCCAGAGCTAGAGGACAATGCCCACCAGTACATCCTGTACCATTTTGAGGAGGTTGCGATGTCGGATGAGTTGTGGCAACTCCCCATGCAAGACTTCTGTGACATCCTCGACCGGGATGACCTGATTGTGAAAAAGGAAAACACGGTTTACGAGGCCATACTCCAGTGGATAGCACATGCCCCCCGAGAACGAGAAGAAAATGTGGCTGTGCTCCTCGCAAAAGTAAGTCAACCCCTTTGACATCATGTTGGGAGTGTGGTGTGGTTGCAATCTGCAAAACATTTTGTTTGTAATGGTATGAGGCCTGTCAATGAAAAATAACCTGATGTCCTTATAAGGACTGTAAGTACATGAGGGTCGGTCTTGGACATAAGGCCAGTCCGAAGGCCTCAAGATCTCATCTCAATCACATTTTTATTTGGTCTTGTGGACTAAGACATAAGGGACCAAAAGACCTAGTCAACACTAAAATGTCAGATACAGCAAGGCGTTACCTATGAACTGGATACATTTACAGCTGTAATTGAAAATCATCAAAACCACCCCAAAATTAGTTGTCTGTGTTTGTAGATCTGTATGAGTCTAAACCTGGATTGGTTCTCAACGTGATCTCAACTTACATTTGGTCTTAGTCTCATCTCAAACTCAATACCTTCTTGATCTTGAGTGAGTCTCACTGGTTTGGTCTCAGCTTGGCCTCAACCCCATGAAAATCTGGGTCTTGTCATTGTCTCTACCTGCTTTGTTTTTAGTCAACACGTTCTCAACTCCTCAATGTCTTAGTCTTCATTTTGTCTCAACCTGCTATATTATCTTGGTTTCATTCAATTTCAACCACAAGTTTTGGGCTGGACTCACCCTGCTCTGGTCTTAGTTTGTACTTGTGTCAATCAGCTACGATTTTAGTCTTGGTTTAATGTTAACCCCTGAAAATCTTGGTCTCATTTCGGTTTCAATCCCTCTGTGCTGGGCTCAACTGAACGAGAATCAAACCTACAACTTGGTTCCCGAACTGTCAAAAACACTAACAAAAATGGTACCTAATTCCTCAATGAATGATATATACTAGTGTCTTCTTATGACTTGTAGGTCCGTCTGGCTCTGACCAGTCAGGAGTTCATCACCATCAACGTGCTGACCAATCAGCTGGTGCAGAGTAGCAACGAATGCCTGGAGATGGTGGCTTTCGCAATCAAAATTATACGTCACATGACCGCCAACTCCGTGTCTGGATTTTGCAACCTAGTTGCCCGTCCTCGCCTGCCTTCCACCATCCTGATGGCCATCGGTGGTCGCAATGGCCGAAACTCAGCACATCGTATCGAGGCTTACGACGTGCACACCAACTGCTGGGGTTACCTGGTAGATGACATGGATCAACCCCGTTCGTACTGCGGGGCCGTCTTTCTGAATGACTCCATCTATTGCCTCGGGGGCTTCGATGGGGCGGAACACTACAACACTGTCAGCCGCTTTGACCTCAACACGCGCACCTGGCGAGAAGTGGCCCCCATGCACTTCCGCCGATGCTATGTAAGCGTCACAGTGCTAAATGGGTGCATCTATGCGATCGGAGGCCATGACGGACGTGTGAGACTAAAGTCAGCGGAGTACTACAGGCCAGAGACAAATCAGTGGACTCTTATCGCCAGCATGCATGAATTGAGGAGCGATGCGAGCTGCACCACCTTAAATGACAAGGTAACTGAGCTCAGGAAGGTGCATTTGTGTTTTGCTGACCTTGCTTTAATCGGCTAGTCACCTTCATGTGGTTCCAGGTGTACATTTGTGGCGGTTTTAATGGAAATGAGTTCTTGCAAACAGCAGAATATTATAGCCCAGAGACTGATGAGTGGACAGTGATGCCCCCCATGAGCAGCCGTCGCAGCGGCACCGGAGTCATTGGCTATGCTGACCATCTTTATGCAGTAAGTAGCATATCATAATACAGTAAACCAGGGTTGTCCAACACCTGTCCTCGAGGGCCTCCATCCAGAATGTTTGAGATGTCTCCCACTTGATTCAGATGATCAGCTCATCAGCAAGCTCTGAGAAGTCTGATAAGGATCATGATCATTTGAATCAGATGTGTTGGAGGTGGGAGACATCCACAACATGCTGTGTAGAGGCCCTCGAGGACAGGAATAGGACAACCCTACAGTAAACTCTGCTGTGAATAGCAAAAGGACCCACATCCTTAGAAAAATACAGAATTGCCTACATTAATAGTTCAACGTTAACTCTGGCACCAATTACCACCCCACAAAGTTTTAATATAATTTCAAAGTCATCTTACATTCCACTTAAAATTAAATGGTTTACAATTTGATTTCTAAAAAAGAACATACGCATGCCATAAAAACTAACGGTACCAGTTTTAAACCTAGCTACTCCCTGACATGTAAAGATTTTTGAACAGTTCTAAATGTATGACTGAAACATACTTATTTGACACCAATTATTACTTTCTAATTAGCCAGGGTTTTTGCACCAACTGTGGCAACTTAGTGCGTTACAGAGGTGTACAAATGGTTCGGGTTCACCATGTTGTAACTCTACAAAACACCCGATGAGTGGCTTTGCTGTTAAAAAATGTCTCCTCTCTTAATTGTGCTTTTGAAGGTTGGAGGTTATGATGGTGACATCCGTCTAGCCAGTGCCGAGGCCTACAACCCCCTTACTAACAACTGGATCGTCCTGCCCCCCATGGAATCCCCCAGAAGCAACTTCGGCATAGAAGTTGTTGAGGATCGCCTCATTGTTGCCGGGGGTTACAACGGCGTCTCCCCAACCAAGCTGGTGGAGTTCTACGACCTCACCACCGGTCTATGGTCTCCAGCCAGTGACATGGGGGTCTCTCGAAGCGGGTTGACTTGCTGTGTGATGTCTGGACTTCGCAACATAGCCCAATATGCTATGCTCCGTAACGATCTACCTTTGCTAAGCTTGGAAGATGAAATGCTGACTATTGAGGACTAAGCCAGACTCAGGAGCATTATGCTGAAAAGTGAAAGAAACTGTAAAACTGCTTCAGTACAAGAGAGAAACTACAAGACATAAACAACCTTGAAACTTGTGTTGAACCATATTTTTATTCCGTTTTTTTAAATATGGACACTAATGAATTGACGCAAAATGCCTTCCAGGGAGTCAATAAATTACTGTGTTACCATGTGTTACGAGTGTCCCAAATTTAGAGGTTTTTTTTCTGTCACAAGCAAGCTTCGTTTACACCTCCGCTCAAATGAACTTTGAAAAAAAGTAAAGCTACAGCCACTGATGCACTTTCAACCATTGAACAAATGGGACAAACAGCCGGAAATGTGATGTCGCTCTGACCCTCCCCTTAATGAAGCTACATATCTGTGTGACCTTTGGCTTAATTTCACATTATAAAATCCAATTATTTATGAATGTTCTCTTATATTCGTATGACCACATTTTGTGATGTTTTTTCCCTTTATTAAAATGGAAGTGATTGATGACATTTCAATTCATTTCAAAGGAAGAACCCAGAATTTCGTTGTCCATTGTTCAAAAGCAAGAATAATTCAAATAAGGCTACTCTGGGGGAAGAAACCTGATCCACATCTCCTTTCAACCCAGGCAACACCTTTTGAAAACCTGTATCCCTTCATCATCATCTGTTTTTGTATACTTTTCCTCTATGTATTCCCAGCATCAATTTGTGTAGGAGTTTCTATTACAAGCAATGCAATGTCCAGAATCAAGGTCAGCAGGTCTTCTGTTGCTGTGCAAAACATAGCAAGCAGTGTCCAGCTTCCCCTTTTGGTGTCACCCTGACAGAGGTCAAACTTTGTCAGCTGGTATGCGTCTGCAGTTTCAACAGCAGAAAACCTGATTCTTTCCAGGTCTTCGAAGTCGCTCAGTGTTCGGACAGACCCTGTTGAAAAGCCTCCCCTGTGCTACTCCATTGAAGTTTACTCTGTCTACTGAGGATTTTGTTGAAGTGGTGACCACCAGAATTATTTTAACCCTGGCTCTAAACTCAACATAAGCAAGTGACAACATTAGAGATTAATATATCATTGGGAAAGTTTCATTACTCTTGAATCTTCGTCTCACCATCGGTAGAAACACAATCTTGGTTTAGAAAGTCCAAACCCACCATTGTTTTCTTTACAATTAAAGTACTGCAGGTTTTATGATGCGGATGATGTCACTGCCGATGTCGATGGTGGCTTTTTGACTCAGAATGCCACCATGATGTTATTATGGAGGTCCTTCTAGACTCCTGCTGCGATTGAGCAGAAGCCGAAGCTGTTACAAGAAATGGCAATGTATTCAAGATGAGTAGCAATGGTGCATTTTCATACAAGTCTGGCTCTGTGTACAATGAACTGCGTCTGAGAAGAAAACTTATTGATGCTGTCATCGTAGTTGACAAAGTTGAGTTTCACATCCACAAGATAGTCCTTTGCAACAGCAGCCTGTACTTTTTGTGAGTTGATCTATGGTCAGAGAATGCAATACAATGAGTCCCCCAAATTGAAAACATGTTGAATATAATCTCTGTTTCTGATATTTAGAGAACTTTTCCAGCGTCACTCAACCCCAGACCAGAAGTTCTATGTCATACAGGGTCTGACGCCAACCTTAATGCAACTTCTCATTGACTTTGTATACACTGGCTCTATGTCTGTGTCAGAGGAGAATGTCACGGACTTGTTGATAGCAGCTGATAAGTTCACTATAACAGGCATCATTCAGACCTGTTCTACATTTCTAACAGAGCAACTCTGCCCAGAGAATTGCATCAGCATCTGGCAGCTCAGTAAAAATTGCAACACCCCAGAACTGCAGCTCAATGCCTACCACTATGTCCTGTACCACTTTGAGGCTGTCGCAAGCTCAAATGAATTGCAGCAACTCTCCATGCAGGAGTTCTGTAACCTCCTGGACAGAGATGACCTGATCGTAAAGGAGAATACTGTTTACGATGCCATCCTTCACTGGATCGCACATGCTCCTGTGGAGCGAGGCAAAAACATGCAATCGCTTCTGGCCAAAGTAAGTCAACATCCACATCCGGTCTAGAACTGCAACACAAAAGAGGTGCTTTAGCACACCTGTCGCCAACCACCTGGCCATGGTGGGTGCATTTAGTAAGAGCTGCAGAGAAACTGCAGAAAAAAATATTTGATCATCACAGTTTGAAAGAGGTTTTACATTGAAAATTAGGGCTGTTTCCCTTTCAAACTGATCTGCCCTTGAACTAAGCAGTGGCAAAATCTCACCTCCACATTCCGAATCAAAACAAGCGCAATCTGTTCTAAGCTGACCCTGACATGGAGCCAACAACTGTGATTTACAGCATTTGCTTAGTAGTCATAGTGTTATTGGCAGTGTTAGGTGAATCGGTTTCAGGGGTTCAACGGAGCCTCTGCCATGGAGGTTAAGATACACCCGACTCAACATGTCAATTAGTTATGACACGCCTGGTTGGCCATCACTGGCTGCAGATGATCACATCACATTACATTGCTTGTCCAATCAGTACTTCGGGAAATTTAGGTCGCTCAGACGTCAACGTGTGACTGTAGTGATAGTACGTCAACTATGTCGAGCAAAAAAAAAACAAACAAAAAAAAAAAAACCTAAGTGGTCGGACGAATATGTACCACATGGATTCACATGCATCACGGAACGTGATGGGACTCAGCATCCTATTTGCATCATTTGTCATGCCAAGTTGAGCAACTCTGGTCTCGCATCAGCAAAACTGAAGGAACACTTCTTAAATTTTTATTTTTCAGGAATGAAGGGTTCGATGAATGAGCATATGAACTGGTTGGGTTCAGTATCTCTAATAAGGTTAAGAACCACTGTTCTAAACATTCACACAGTAATATGTTTATTTACTTCCTTTTGCCCTGTAGGTCCGTCTAGCTCTGACTAGTCAGGAGTTCATCACCATCAACGTGCTGACCAATCAACTCGTGCAGAGTAGCACAAAATGCCTGGAGATGGTCATATTTGCCACTCGAGTGATGCAATACATGAAAACCAAATCCGTGTTTGGGTATTCCAACCTGGTGGCCCGACCTCGCCTGCCTTCTGCCATCCTTTTGGCAATAGGTGGCTGGAGCGATGCCAATCCGACGCACCTTATCGAGGCGTACGATGTGCAAGCTGATTGTTGGGAATATTTGGTGGAACACATGCAACAGCCCCGAGCGTACTGCGGTGCCGTCTTTCTCAATGACTCCATCTACTGCGTGGGAGGATTTGACGGGGCAGAACACTACAATACCGTCAGCCGGTTTGACCTGAAAACGCACACCTGGCAGGAGGTGGCGCCCATGCACTCTCGTCGATGCTACGTGAGTGTGACAGTTCTAAAGGGCTCCATCTATGCAGTAGGAGGTTATGACGGACGATTACGACTCAAGACAGCAGAGTGCTACACGCCTGAGACCAACCAATGGACTCTTATTGCCAGCATGCATGAACACAGGAGCAATGCCAGCTGCACAACCCTCAATGACAAGGTAGGCAGAGATTAGCAATGTCTGCTGTTCTCAAACTGGGGTGCCCAGGGAGGTCCCCTGTGAGGCAGAGGTTCTGGCTCCATAAAATTTGTAATAAATTGTATAATATATAAACACATTTTAATATTCATATTTTAAAAAATATGGATATTTCAGGTTTCAGGTGAAATTTCTGAAGCTAAAATTATGGTGGCATAGCAATATTTTATATTAACAAAAACAGTGGATGAAACCAGAGCATATGTTACCTGTTGTTGTATGTATGAGGGCTCCTTGGAAATTAAAAAACAAAAAAACCCCAAACTAATCCTTCCCTGTAAAGAATCCTGGACTCAAAAGGTTTGCTCACCTCTGCTTTAATTCATCCATAATCTCCCCTTTGGTTTCAGGTGTATATTTGTGGAGGTTTTAATGGAAATGAGTTCTTGCGAACAGCAGAATATTACAACCCAGAGACCAACGATTGGACACTGATGGCCCCCATGAACAGCCGTCGTAGTGGCATCGGAGTCATTGGCTATGCTGACCATGTTTATGCAGTAAGTGTAGCTTCTCGAATCTTAGCTTCTCCCTTCTATTTTGAAACCATTTCAAATTCTTGCCTTTCCCTTGTGAAGGTCGGCGGATATGATGGTGACGACCGCCTGGCTAGCGCCGAGGCCTACAACTCACAAACCAACAATTGGATCTTGATGCCCTCCATGCAATGCCCCCGAAGCAACTTTGGCATCGAAGTGGTGGAGGATCGCCTCTTTGTAGTCGGTGGTTATAGTGGAGTCTCCACCACCAAGCAAGTGGAGTACTATGACCTCACCACTGGTCTGTGGTCTCCGGCCAGCGACATGAGGATCTCACGAAACGCCTTGACTTGCTGTGTGATGTCCGGATTTCACAATGTGACTCACTACGCAATGCAGCGGAACATGTTACCCGTGCTCCCCTTGGAGAATGATTTGGAAATGGAGGATGATTTCTAGAACCTGGAGAGATGCCAACCTCGGCAAGTTTGATAGAAACCAGAAAAAAATAAAATTGAAAATATCTGCAATTTTTGATATACATTGTATTTTGATTTGCTTCACACTTGCTATCTTTTTTTTTTGTTTTCGCTAATCTTATTTTTGAAGTTCTATCAGATAATGGACAATGTCAGGGATAGGGGTAGATGAGCGATCGTCCTCCGCAGAAGACTTACATTTCTGTCCAATCTTTTGCACGCCAATCATCATGTCTCCCATGATAGGCTGCTGTCGATTTATCTGCATTGGTCATCGTTCGAGAAACATGTTAGAAGGAAAATTAGAATGTTATCTAATTATGTGATGACATTGAATCTTGACTTGGTAGACTTGACTATTCCTGCTAACATGGGGCGAAATAGATAGGACATTAGGCCTGTGGTGATCTAAACATCGTCAGAAGCACTGACCTCCATGTACACCCTAGATTCTGTTTCATGAAATTTATTCTCAAGTCTGTTTTGTTCATTTTGTAGCGCTTCCCATGCTGTTTAGTTGGTAAGAGCAAAACTGTTTGATGAGCAAAACATATCTCCAGTGATCTGGACACAATACATTGAATAATCTGCATGTCTGAAAGTATGATATATTTTATTTAAATGTGTTTTTCCATGCTATTCAATGACAGGTGTCAAACTCAGGTCGTTGAAGGCCAGATTCCTGCACATTTTAGATGTTATGCTCTCCAACACAACTAATTCAAATGATCAGCTAATCATCAAGCTCTGCAGGAGCTCAATAATGATTCTGAAAATTTGAATCAGGTGTGTTTGAGGAAGGAAATTAGTCTCTGAGATAATCATTGATTTTGAACTGCTCCAGAATAGCTGTAGTAATGCATTTTTGTATAGTATTCAAGGTTCCTACAATTGCAATGTGATAGTGGTGTTAAGAGTTGGATATTGTATCGGGTAAAACCCTACTGAAGGTAAAGCTACCAAATAAAAGGCCAACCATTGCTGGAATGGTCACAAGTCAATCACAGGGCAGAGACATGCGCCAATATTTATACCATCGTTGATTCCAATAACACACGGATGATCATGTTTGTGGAACTGTACAGCCTTTATAAAAATACTGCATGAAGAATCCATGATCTCCATTATTTGTTGATAGAGCTACAAGAAAAGCCTAAATGAGTCTCTGTGACGTCTCTTGTGTTATGAGGGTAGGAGTCCAATCCCAACAATGGGTTTGGACTCCAAACTACTAAAGTTCTTGTTTGGAAGTCTGGTGGACTGGTCTGGATTTGGAGTTCGTCTTGTGATTCATTTGCAGTGTTAAGTCCATGCGGACAAAGACAGACCCCTGGTCCGCAAGCCATCTGACATCTTTGGGATAAACCCTTGGAGACCCTCCCTGCTTCAACATCACCAATATCTGAAGGATCAGGGACCAGACTCTGAACTGATTATAGAAGATGTGAACTGTTTCACAAGTAAATTTTTCTATGATACCCTGTAGGTGTATTGTGTCAGTGGCATATTCAAATGTAGCTGGACTACCAGTGGTCAATAAATCCATCCATCCCTTTTGTGAACCGCTTTATCCAGACAAGGGTCGCGGGGCGTGCTGGAGCCTATCCCAGCTGTCTTCGGGCATTAGGCGGGGGACACCCTGAACCGGTTGCCAGCCAATCGCAGAGCACACATAGACAAACAACCATCCACGCTCACACTCACGCCTAAGGACAATTTAGAGTGTTCAATCAGCCTGTCGTGCGTGTTTTTGGAATGTGGGAGGAAACCGAAGTACCCGGAGAAAACCAACGCAGGCATGGGAAGAACATGCAAACCCCACACAGGAAGGCCAGAGCTGGAATCAAACCCAGTACCTCTGCACTGTGAGGTCGATGCGCTAACCACTTGACTACCGCCCTGGTCAATAAATGTGAAACAAATTCAATGTGTAAAATGGAGGAAAGATGATGTATTTCTTGAGAGTAAAGTAGCGGTGCTTTGATGACGCGGATGATGTCGCCGCTGACGGCGACCATGGCTTTTGACACAGAATGCCACCCACCATGATGTAATGCCAGAACCCCCTCAATCCTACCACCCCTCTTACATGCCTGCCCCCTCCTCAGGTCACCCACTGACTTATGTTAATTCTGCTGAGACTGGTCTACAGATGCCAAAAGTGTTAAGAAATGGCAACGAATTCAAGATGAGTTATGATGGTAAAATTCCATACAAATCTGGCTCTGTGTACAATGAACTGCGACTGACCGGAGGACTTAGTGATGCGGTGCTCAAGGTTCACAATGATGAGTTTCTTATCCACAAGATCATCCTATGCAACTGCAGCCCATATTTTGAGTAAGTAGATCTATTTTTAATTGCTTGCATTCAGAAATGGTTAAAGTACTCTGTCCTGATTTAGAAGTACAGAAATGACTCGTGTAAGTAGAGGTGTCAAATTACCGCGTTAATTGCAGTCGTATTTCGCGCATTATGTTTTTTAATTGTGTTAATCTAAATTTTAATCTCTAACTTTTTTGTTTCTGTAGGTGGGTTGCCTTTTTATAATGTCCCTTTTTAAGTGTTGGCTTCCTGTGTTCGAGTTGTTGAGGGCGGGGAAACAAAGGCCAGTCGGTTCACAGCCTGAAGCGGACATTGATTGGCTGTCATTATGTTTTGGCTTGTTTAGCATAAACTGATAGGCTCCCATTGGAGTTGGGCGGGCCAGCAATGGTGAGGAGAGGAAAGGAGAGGTGAAAATAGAGGCGCATGTGAGAGTTCTCGGCCCAATGAATGGAAAATTTACATTCCAAAAATCGCCCCGATGGCACTATTGATAAAGGTAGTGTTGTGCCGAATTTGTAAGGAGTTTGCTTACCACCGAAGCAGCTCAAGTTTAGCCTACCATATCAATGCAAAGCACCCAGTCGCGAGTGCAGCCACAGCTAACATTAGCACCGAAAACAAAAATATAGCGAGCCATAGCAAAGCTCTTCACCAAACTAAACTCGAGGAGAACACCCCGCGTATGAGGCATGAAGTCAGCATAGCTGCTGTGTCCTCTGTAGCCTCTAGAAGTGATTTTTGTTTATTTCAACACTTTTGGGAAAAAAGGTTTTTTTATTCTATTCTTACATTTATTATCCCCTCAAAATAATCCGGCACACTGCCATTGATGTCTTAGCTGATGGAAACAAATGTGAATCCTCCCCCGAGGTGAAAATAGTGAAAAATGGGTGGAGTGGGTCGTCTACCCGACACAATATGAGCTCAACATTTGGTAGATACCATTAGTCCCGAAGATCTCAATCAATCAATGAACATCTCTACTAAGATTGACTTTACAATCTTAACGTTGTGTTGTCCACCATGGATGGAGATTGAAAAAAGTAAGAGTCCATTTTTGACTGAGGAGCATAAAATACAGATATCGGTTTTCAAATGTTGGGAGTAAAAGTACAAAGTCAATTCTTTGTTTCTTCCCATCACTGTTTGTATTAAAGAAAAAATAGATACCGGTAGTACTGTTAACTTGGCTGCTAAATGTTGGTTCACTGCCTGTGTTTCTATTCTGGTCTTCAGGGCCCTCTTTCTTCGATGGTCCACCCCAGACCAGAGGGTCTATGTCATACAAGGTGTTACACCTCACATCATGCAGCTCTTCATCGAGTTCGCGTACACCAACTTCGTGTTGGTGACAGAGGACAACGTCAAGGACTTGCTGATTGCTGCTGATAAATTCGTGATGACAACCATTGTCCAATCCTGCTGCGTATTCCTGGCAGAGCAGCTTTGTCCCGAAAACTGCATCGGCATCTGGCAGTTCACCAAAAACTGCCACACGCCGGAGCTGCAGATTAGTGCCTATCAGTACATTCTTTACCACTTTGAGGACGTTGCAGCCTCTGAGGAACTGCCACAATTTACTATGCAGGAATTCTGCGACATTCTGGACAGGGACGATCTGATTGTGAAGAAGGAGAACACGGTTTATGAGGCCATCCTGCAGTGGATTGCACACGCGCCGAGGGAGCGAGGCAGGAACCTGGCCGTGCTCCTAGCGAAAGTAAGTCAACCTGGGAAGTTGTTGAGGGGCCTAGAAGTATTTCTGCATCAATTGTCTTTGTACATTTTCAGTCATGCAGGTCATGACAAAGTCCTTAAAAGTCCAATCGAACTGAACTCTTCTTGTTGAAGACATGTCTAAATCAAAAAGGCCTCGTTCAATTACAAATTTTAGGTTGAGAGTTTCCCTGAGGGTTGTTGTTGCTGGTGTATGACTGTTTTGTATAACAATCAGGCATTGACCTGTCTGGTGACAAAATGCTATGTTAGTGGCCACTTAACACGTGGGGTGAGACAATCTTTGAGGAAGGGATGTCTGAACATTGCCGTAACCGCAGTTGTCTTTGGCCAGAATTTCAAAACATTGCTGTAGCTCCAGTTGTCTGGCCTGAATTGTGGTTTAAAAGAGGCATGAAACAAGTAATCTGTCTCTAACTACAAAAGCACTCACTTATGCTCTGCTGACAACAATATCCTGACATTTCTCCCCCCACCCAAATTGTCTCACTTCATAGGAAAAGTGACCATGACTGAGTCACTTTTCCACCAGCCGGTGAAACTCATTTCACCAGCCAAACTACATCAACGTGACCATCCCACCATACACATAAATCGAGAGTCCCTCCACACCCAAAATTTAAAAGTGAAGAAGCATTTCAGATTTAAGGTGAAAGTTTTCAACAACCCAAAAATTCAACTTTTTTGCATTACTGGATCAATAATCCCCAACCAAGATTGCATTATTGCTTTTAAATTGTCAGTTTTAAGACATTGGCACTGAAAACTAAAGATGATTCAAATGCATTTTTCATTCATTTTTATTCTGTTCAACAAAAGTAGAACAATACAAAGAATTGCAGTGAATGACTAAAAAATGACCTAAGGAATAATAAACACCTGAAAATGTTCATCATTTTTACATTATCATCCTACATGCAGTGTTAAAATCATTGCTATTTGCAAATGTGCATGATCAATGGCTAACACGATTGCTGCTTTCGTCTGGTGGCGTAACAGCCATTTAGTAGCAGCTAAACTGCTAATGTTTATGTGGGCAGGCTGTGAAAACTCCCCTCACATTTTCACTTCATCACTTGGGTTCTGCTTGTTGAAATGATTCAGCAGGTTTGTTGTATTGCATAGTTTTTGACTACATACCTTGCACAACGGCTTCATTTACTCTACGTCACTCTGGAGATAACTGCCAGACAAGCTTTGGTAAGGAACTCTGGTCAAAATAGGCTGATTTCCAGAAGATTATGTCAAGTCATGCCTGCCCATCAACTATGCATTTAGCTGCATGTTCGGTCATTCTGACGATTACTTTATGTATACTGCTTGCTTCTTTCATTCATTGTTAATTTCAACTTGCTAACTGAAGTTAGAAGGAAAAGCTGGACTCATTTCCCCATTTCTGATTGAGTATGAGCACAGCTCACAGCTAATCACATACCATGATTGTCAATCATAATCACCCAGCCCTACTAATATTGCCCCTCGGAAGGCACTCAACGGGGTTGGGTGTTTGGCGCACATGCGGCGCTTTTTTGGGGGGCCTGTCACACTGCATCCTGGTACCAAATGGATGAGGGACTGAGGACCACTGATCGAGCAAGTACAACTATGGCTCAGCAGTGTTCAATGAGGTCTGATGCCTATTGGGACAAAACGGGTCCCTTAATATCTTAAATATCAGTCTGTCTACTGTGTAGGTCCGCCTGGCTCTGACCAGTGAGGAGTACATCACTATGAACGTGTTATCCAATCAGCTGGTGCAGAGTAACAACAAGTGCTTGGACATGGTTGACTTCGCCACCCGAGTGATCCACCACATGGTGGCAAACTCCGTGTCTGCATACTGCAACCTGGTGGCCCGTCCCCGTCTGCCTTCCGGCATCCTTCTGGCGATCGGCGGCTGGAGTGGTGCCAACCCAACGCAGTGCATTGAGGCATATGACGTGCATGCCAACCGCTGGGTCAGTTTTATCGAGGACATAGAGCAACCGCGGGCATACTGCGGTGCCGCCTTTCTCAATGACGCCGTCTACTGCCTTGGGGGTTTTG